AGTATAGTCCGCGGCGCGAAGCGCCGCGCACACCTTCAATTTACATGTCGAACAACCCGCTTCCAGCGGCCGCGGGAAGCAACTTCGACTAAATTTTTTCACTTTAAACTTACTACTAAAAATTTCCTTCTCTGTTTATCCTATTTCCCAACCTCACAAAACTCTATAACCACCGGTTTCACGGGACAAAATGCTGGTAGTAGGGGTATATGAGTAGGGCTACATAAGGCACTTTTGCCGGTGCGCTACCAAGGAAACTCCTGCCAAAATGCTAACGCCATACGGTTAGTATGACAGATTGGTCGACTTAGGTAGTTCACATACAGACAAAAAGCACTCGACGACAGAGCAAATACGCGGACAAATTGAAAATATAAGTCAAAATAAATGCGCAGAAGAAAGCCATCAGGCGCACTGCTTTCTGCGGAGATCAAAGAGTCAAGGATAGTAAGTAAGACAAGGAAGGACAACTTTTCGCAATGGAGTTTTAATGTTTTCATTTTAAAAAGTGCAGTTATGCGAAATCAAAGCCAAGTACAACGCGTGAAAGCACAAACAGGTCAATCTCCTGACAAGAACGCACAAGAATACGCACCCCCGGGACGGTGCCTACTTGGAGGAACCAGCAGTGGCTGCGACTACGTATGAAGAGAGCAAAAAAGAAAAAAGTGTCTGAGGAAGGGCAATGCAAGTTGGCTGAAGAAACAATTACTGAGGAGTGCCGCCGCTGGCAAACGAAAACTTTAGATGCATAAAGGAGAGGATTACCATACAGGTATCCGGTTATAATAAGACCACGAAAGAATTTACGTAAGGACAAGATGAGGGCGACAAAATACGCAGAATTCATTGACTTCATAGAGGATCGCGGTTAGCTGAGCACACGTAAAAGTGACTGCTATGGCCGCCCCTTCGCCTCACCCTCTCCCCTCCCTTCCATGGTCCTACGGCGAGGGCGACATGCAATCATGCAGACGGTCTAGGCAATCGATTCGTTCTCTCAATAAATCCATAAATGTGATCCAAAGTGGAGTTCGGCAGGCATCTGGGACGACTAAGCAGTTCGATTTAGGGGCAGCACTCTTTATACCGTCATTTACATTAATGTTTTATAGAGAGTCCTAAACAAATGCTGGGTTCGCGACTTCTGTGTCTGAGGTCGAAGCGACCAAACGAAGAACGAACCCTCCCATCCTCATTCTCTTCCACTTCGTCGAACATTCGCGGATGCCGGGCTGAGATCGCTCAGACTAGCAGCCTAGTCCATTGCCAGGATCGGAGATGTGTCCAGAATGCCTTCTTCTGCAGCAGAAGGCGAAATAAGGTTTTTATGTTGTCTAAATTAGGACTACCTTGGCGAAAACGACGTAACCATCAGCAAACTGCTCGCTAAGAAGAACCGGCTGCAAAAAGCCTACATTGACCGCCCTACCGATGCAAACAACACAGTATTATACTGAAGCCTCCGTCACAGTGGCTGAGGGAAAGGTAGGACGCCTGGACGATTCGCCGAGCCAAGGGGAACCAAGGTTACGCGGGCCGCAATGAATTTGCTGTGATCAAGGCTGTCTACGATCCCACCTTCACAATAATTATTCCTCTGCTCCGCGCTGATGAAGCAACTCTACTCACTGAGGGGGCGAAAATGTTGAAGCGCTAGGCCGAGCACTTCCACCGCGTCCTTAACCACCCCTCCACCAGTTCCGACACCGCCATCGACCGACTAGTGAGGACCAATGCGAGCCTCGATCTCCTGCCCTCTCTCCATGAAACCACCAGGGCTATGCAGCAACTCTCTAGCGGGAAATTATCTGGATCAGACGCCATCCCTGCGAAGTGTTACAACGACGGCAGTTCCCAATTTATGAGTTGCCCCACAAGGCTCTTCCAGGTGGTGCGTAGCCAAGGACGAGTCCTGCAGGATTCCAAGGACGCCACGATCCTCCACTACTACAAGCTTTGTGACAATCACCGAGGAATCTCGTTTTTCAACATCACCGGCAAAATCTTCTCCTTGATCGTCTCAATACCCATCTGGAACGAGGACTCCTGTCGGAAAGCCGGTGCGGCTTTCGCCGTCATCGCGGCACTACGGACATGGTCTTCGCCGTGCGTCAGCTACAGGATAAGGGTCAGGAGATGCGAACTCACCGCTACACAATCTTTGTGGATCTGATGAAAGCCTTCAACATGGTGAGTCGCGACGGACTATGGAAAGTCATGCAGAAATTCGGCTGTGCTGTGCGGTTCACTCACATGGTGCGTCAGCTCCAGGTCGGGATTGTGGCGCGCATCACTGACAACGGGTCAGTATCCAAAGCTTTTGCAATGACCGACGGAGTGAGGCCGGGCTGCGTCCTCGCGCCTACTTCATTCAGTCTAATGTCCTCTTCCGTGCTAATGGACGCCTACCGTGATAAGAGTTATGGGATCTGAATTGATGAGCACCTTCTCAACATCCGACGTATGCAGGTTGCAACGCATGTACCTACGACAGCAGTCCACGAACTGCTTTTCGCATACGACTGCGCTCTCAACATCACGAAAGGACAGGACATGCAAATGAGCACGGACCTCTTCGGCGCGAACTGCACCAAGTTCGGACTCAGTATCAATGCGAGCAAAACTGCGCTCTTGCACCAACAGTCACTTGGATCAACGTAACAATGCCCAACACAGAACTGTGGACAACTGTGCATATTTCAGAAGAATAATTGCGTAGTTGTTTGCGCACACCCTTCTCTGGGAAGAAACTAGCTCGAACTTCTAGTTTGCCTGGTCGCTTTGCGGTGTAGTAGATGGTCACCTGTTCGTGATCCGTACCAGTAGATCTGGGATCTTCTGGTTCTAGAAAGCCAAAGAAATTGGCGACCCGTACACTAAATGATCTTTGTCAAGTAGGCCTGATTCACGGGTTAGACTTTATCCGTCGAGCACTTGCACTGTGTGCATATGCAAATTTACGTGTGGTGCGACACGCAGATGTACGTCAGCAGTATGGTTGGCTGAAAGAGGCGTCAACGAGTCCAAAGAAGTTATCGTTTCTAGCTTGCTTCTCGTTACCGTACTATTCCGCTGAAGCATTGAATTGTATGTTGAAAAGATATCTTACAAGTGGATCCAAAAATGCAAAAACACAGGATAGCTTCAACAGACATATTAACTGCTAACACTTTCCTTAAATATTAACCTTAAAGGACAAGAAATGTTCTAAAAATGACTATAGGAAGGTACATTTCTAGGCCTCATTTAACGCAGGCTGTGATGATTTCATGTTGATCAGTACTAGAACACCAAGAAAGCTACATTTTCTATTAGAAAACATATTTAAACATTAAGGTGAAAATTTAAAGCGCTATTAGCTGTCCTTAAACTTTCCGCAAATATTTAAGCATGAAAAGCCTACCTAGCCTCGGAAAGATCTTTAAGTGGTTTAGGTCTGTAATGGTGTCCAATAGAGTAAATGTGGAATGTTGCCGGAATGTGGTCAAAAAACCGTAACTTACTTATTATGACAATAATAATGATGATCACGACAAACGCGATGATGGCCCACATCTAAAAACAGACATAGGATAGAAGCTGTATTGACAGGCTCCCTCAAAGCATTGTTAAAAATGTTAGCAATATAATAATCAACAATATTCAACTGGCTATGTCTACTTCTTATTTGAAAAACAGACTACTATCCTTCGGGAGTGTGACGGCCTGAAAATTCAGGGAAATTCAAAACGAGAAACTGTTCTATGGATTCTCGGCTACGGTCGTGGCGAAGTCTGCTTATCTCTGATAGCAAACTACGTTTGAAGATGGAATGTAAGGGTTTCTAGTTAAAGGTGAGCATGCAGGAAGTAAAAGACTTAAGTTCTAGTAATAGCAGTGAAAATCCGATTCCCGGGTGTTAAGTCAGAAGGAGGGCGTTCAGGGGGAGAGGTTTAATTGGCGTCCTGTCTATCCATCTTCGGAGTGAATACTCTGGCTCCTGGCACTGTGGCCAGCGAATCACCTTCAGGAGCCCGAGAGACACACGCCACGGCCACCTTCATTGTCCGCACTGCCCATGCACATTCCTCACCGACACATGCACAACACACGAACACTTCCGACATCACACAGCGCAGGCATGAACTAGGCACCTCTCATGTAAGCAAGATGTGTGTACTTCGGCTCCTCTGCTTCACGCGAAATCTGAACAGTGCTACCCCTTCGTATGGAACCTTGGGGATGGTCATGCGTGGGGCAAGCGTAAGCTGATTGATTTGAGCTCAGTGAGTCACCGCTTCCAATCTCAGCATTAGATGGTTGACTGGATCCGACAACCGACTGGTGCACAGGCAAAAGAAGAGAGAGTGAAGTAGACGGAAGGATGGCAAAGAGTCGGTTTCTGATAACAAGGACTTTATTCTAGAACACACAGAGACAGCTGATTTATTAGCTTGCCCACTCCAGCGTATTTATGGGGTCCGGGTGTTTCTGGAACATTTCTGGCCTGTGGCGTGCGACGAGCATT